AGACGTCTGTTTTTTGAAGCATAGAAGAGAAAGAAGAAACCACAAAGTCAACGGATGTAATCAATTTCATAAATCTCTCTCACAGACCAGGGGATATATTTAACAAATATGACAAGGGTCAATATGTGAAATGTTTGTAAGTATTGATAGGAAAACCACTTTAAGATTTGATGTATGGACAAAGGCTTTGATAAAACAATTCACTGAAGACGATGTAGAACAGCACTTTAGATATGTAATCATTCCAGACACTACATATCTATTACATAATCTACCCAATTCTGTCCCTGTGTTATACCTTAAGAAACTGTCACAGAGGATCTACCCAACTTTGTCCCTATTTTGCACCTTAAAAAAGTGCCAGAGAAGTGTTAAATAAATAGCATGGTGGAAAATTATTGGAACCAGGATGTTAACATTTGACTCCAGGTGGATATGTACTGCAAACTGTGTAATTTCTAAAGGGATGTGTTTGATTGTATGCTTCAGTCACCAAACTCAGCTTATGAAAAGTACGGTTCTGAGGGCTAGTCAAGGTGTTGCCAAAGCCATACCCCTCTTGAGGCTCTAGGAAGAATCTTTACCTCTTCCTGGATTCTTGGAAATCCAAGGCTTAGTGTTTCTGCCTTTATCTTCACATGACCTTTTTTCCAGAATCCTCTCAAGTGTGTCCAGTGTTCTCTAAAGAACCTATGTCTCTGCATAAGGACTCACCCTAGTTCAGTATGACCACTCTTACCTTGATTATATCTATTTCAGACAAGATTACATTGTGACACAAAATGATGTAGGAAGAAACTACTATATTATTATAAAAAAATTACATTGAGTTTATGGCTGTACATACATTTTGGGAAACACTACTCAATCCAGTGTAATACATCTTAAGACCCTCTAAAATTTAAATATTCCCACATACAAAATAAATTCACCCCATCCTAGCATCCAAGCTTTAATCTTTTCTGGCTTTTCACTGTAGGTTAATCCAGAATCTTCTAAATATCAACAACTCATAAAGTTCCAGATCTCATAATACGAATCATCTAAGTCAGATATGGGTATTTTCCATCCTGAGACAAAGTTCTTCTTCTATGGATGAACTTGTGAAACTCAAAAATAGACACCCACTTCTAAAATACAATGGTGGAACACATTAGGCTTCAAAAGGGAGAAGCGGGAGGGGAGACAAAGGAGTTATGGGTCCCAAGCAAAGTCAAAAGTCCAGCAGAGCAGATTACATTTCTCTCAAGATCTAGCTTTGCCTTACCCCCAGGACCCTCACCTTCTGCCCTCCACCTCTATGCTGGCCTTGGGATCTTTACCTTTTCATGGAGCACCAGTAGCCAGTTAACACTTGGCGTGTAGGCCTTCCATGAAAATATATGTGTGTGTATTAATAACCTGCACATTTACATAACTAGATCAACATCTACTGAAATTCAGTACTGCCTAGGTAGAGGCTTCCAAGCCCAGGTTGTCAGTTTTCAGTTACCTGTTTTTTTCTGTTCTATTCCTTTTGATGATGACTTCAAGAAATCCTTGTCAGGAACAATACTGAACATGTGCATGTTTTTTGTGAAACCTGTTATTAGGTCAGATATTTTTGTTTTATGAGTTTGTGTCTGGATACATTTTCAAGCAAGTGAACTTATAAACAAGCATTTTTATGTACATACTAATGACTCAAATTTTAGAATACTGTCACTTCCCCTGGGAGCAATACTATATGTAACCTACTACTTAGAAAATGAAACTTGGTTATTTCTACTGTCTTACTACCCAAAGCTAAGTTACTTGAGGCACACAGATCATAATTGCTTAGCTACCCCCTCACATAACTGGTCCATTTTCTCTAAGGATATTCTTGCAGGTCTGCATTGCTGACCTGGCTTTAGAGATTGACATAGGTGCACTTTAAGATCCTGTACTGGTGGGAGTGTCAGCTAAGGGTATTGACTACCTTTTGGTGGTAGATTACCTTTTAATCAACTTTGTATTTGATGAGTATTTGAGTTTACAGGACACCTAGTTAATATTTAACACTGCTTTCTCTGATGAAAGATGAGGGTTCTGGTTTTTCTAAACTAGTTAGTTAGTAATTCTATGTTTGTGGATCATTTTCTTATTTATAGATACATACAAATTATTACCTGTGCAACAGGATGATTAAATTGAAGCTTGTAAAAGACGTAAATATGATAATATTGTAAGGATGATTTTCTGACTTAAATGTCTAATCTGTGTGTGTTCAGAGTTTGAGTTTACTGTACTGGTATTTCCTACTGATTTTTCTTTTTTTCCTATGTCCAAGATTAAATTCTTTACACACTGCATAGTTCCACCACAGTGCCACAGTGTGGTGCTGTTGTTCCTTGGTAGACTTTCAAAATCGTCTTTTGTTGCTGTCATAGCTTTAATTTTGTGGACTAGATAAGATGCTCTGGAAAGTGTATGAAAGCACTCATATCAGATAAGTCTTAGCTGTACATAATGACTTACGTGATCATCAGTGTTTGCTAGATTGATTTTTATTTTAATCAGTTTTTATTAACAGGTATAGTTAATTTATTTTCTTGACTGCATCATGTCTAGTTAAAAATCAGAGGGCTTGGGCTCTCCCTGGTGGTGCAGTGGGTTAAACACAGCACTAAGAAGCTAAAGCCACTTTAGCATGAGTTCTATCTCCGCCCGGAGGTGATCCACTTGGCTGCAGACCTCTCCTGGTCTGCCCACTGCTCCCTTCAGCAGTGAACTTCATCAGTTCTACCTGTTCTGCTCCCCACTGGTGGATCCTCTCAATGCCCCCCCATACCTCTGCCCTGTACCCCAGTTCTGTATGCAAAAATCTTTAAAAAAGAATTAGAGGGCTTTTTGAAGGTTATGAAATTAAAACTTAAAGAAACCAACAAACAAAATTGTATAGATGCATATAGGCATTAAAAAAAATTGTGGTTGTTGTGCATATTCACTAAATCTACATTTCCACTCAAAATATATAAAGCTGTCTTCCATATCTCCTTTGTTACAAATGTCCTCTGTCTGTGCACTGCTTGTGCCAGTATCTGTTGAAAGAGGAAACAGTTCATGATGGTGTAGACTTTGTGCTTCCCAGAATCTTCAGTTGAGCTTTCCTCACTCTTGCAAGCTTGCTTTCTTTACTTTCTTTACTTTCTTAAGGTGTCCATAGGATGTTATTTGTTAAATTGGTATGTGCTAGTGATGCTTGGAATTTATAGAGGTAGTTTTATTAGGGTACTTCAGAAAGGTTTTGGGAAGTAAATGCCAGACTGTGAAAGGGGCAGAAAGGTAAGAATCCCCTGTCCTGGGTCTCGTAAGATCACACTTGAATATTAATATGTTAGTGCAGTTATGTGAAATTACTTCATTAGTCACCAGACTACTTTTTGGAAATAATAGCTTTATAATATTAATAAGGTTAGATACAAGCATTTGACAACCATTCATTTCATAAATTGGATTGAAATTAAGTATTTGGAGAGTTCAGGACAAAAGAGTATATAGGTGAAGTAAATTAAGTCTGATAAACTTGAAAGTGGATGAGGAACTTTGTTTTTATCTGAAGGCCCAGACATTGTAGGGTTATCAGAAATATTTTCTGGTTGAATGAAGGAGGTATCTTGACTGTTGTGAAATAGGGATGTAGGGAGAATCATAAAGCTCATTCTGAGAGAACAGCCTTAGAATTTTCTATCTTTGTGATACTATGGGACAGGTACTTGATTACTATAGGGAAACTGAACTCTGAAGAGAAACAAGGACCATGTCTGTTTTGCTCTCATGATATCCCAGACTTTCTGGCTTTAGGGTATTTCTCAAGGAATCATAATAGGATTTCTGATTGTTATCCTCATAGAGTGAGTTAGTGATTAAATGACAATAAAGCATTAAGGAGCTGGGCTCGACATTTCTTTCCAGATCTTCTCCCTATAAGCAAAGCCCATAGAGAATGTAGAGGGAGCTGTCACTTGAGAATTACCATCAGCTAGTTGGTGTGTTAGATTTTGGAGTTGGGATTTGGGCTTTTTTTTTTTTTGATCATTGAACACATTTGTGGAATATTTTTTTCATATTCTACATAATTGTGCAGTAAGTACATGAATGCTGATAGAAAGTTACTGCCATAATAGTAAAGAGAAATACATAATATTTTGGAAAAATACAATATGAAAGATATGTTGTATATTTTAATTAGTATTTTAATCCTTAATTCTGAGAAATCAAATCCTTTGAGTTCTATCTTTTATTTATCTTTATTAGAATCCTGTGTACTATTTTTGGTTCTATTAGGAGCAGTGGATCTAGATATATAGTGTTTCAGACTTTTAAAAAATGAGTTTATTTCAATGGCATTATCACTACAAGGCTAGAAATTAAAATCTGTTTTTATTTGGAGAAGTTACTTGAAAACATAACCGAAAACATTTATTTTGAAAGGAATAAGTGTACATTTTCAATCATGGTAATAACTTATAAGAACAGCCCTCAGTTTCCTACCAACTCCCACAAACTTAGAAGAAATCATTTCCTTTTCCCTCTGTTGTATAATAGAGTAAAAACTTCAACTCCAGGAGTGTGGCTCTGCTTAAGAGTGTTTACTATTGATCTTTTGAGATTATATCATATGTAGGAAGCTCCCCCCCCCCCATCCAAATATTTGAAATTTTAAAGTAAGTGTAGTTGCTAACTTTTGTCAGATTTTGGTGGAGGGGTGTCTATTAATTTAGCCATGAGGTTTTCCTCCCTAATTATTAGTGGGATTCACTGAGTCCTACTATAGTAACCTTCATTTTCTAGGCCAACCCTTACCTGTCATCGTGTGTAATTCTTTTAATTACCAACTTGACTTGCTGAATTTTGGTTAGGTTTACTATGACTGTATTCAAAAGTAGGCTGGCCTATGGTTTTCTTCTTAATCCTACCTATAACAAATTTGGTAATAGAACAACTATTTTTAATTCTATTATTTTCTCACTTGACAGGTCGTGGTTCAATTTCTGAATTCTTTCATATTATGAAAAGAAAATTTACCAATAAAGAATGGGAAACAATCAGAAGCTTTAAGGATGAATGGACTCAGCTGGATATGTTCTATAGGAATTGGGTATGATTTCTTTCTAATTTTGTGAATAAAAGCCTATGGTTATCTTTGCTAAAAATTGGTGTAAAAGTCCTTGTTACAGTGCTTAGTAAGTGCTTGGAAACTTAATGACTTTATGCATTTATTATAGTAAACACATTTGTTTTAAAAAGTTAAAAATATGCTCTTTAAGCTAAAATGAAACATTTTATATATCACTATAAATAATCTTACTATCTTAAAGAATGCATCTAAAGAGGCCTTAATGAGCAACCACAGAGTTTGATTATATGCTAGTAGACACTGCTTTAAGGCTTTCATGAGGAAATGGGGGGCCCAGAGCTTAAATTATTTCCTGTAAGATCACAGAGCTGGTTTGTCTATTACTTATAATACAGTATCAAGCTAAAAATCGAGATGTATTGACCGTACAGACTTTCAGAGAAACTTTATCTATTAGATGCTCTAAAAGACATTGTCTCTCTGTCTTAGGCACTGAAAGAAAGCTTCATAAAAGCTGTTGGCGTTGGGCTTGGGTTTGAGTTACAGCGTCTCGAATTTGATATATCTCCATTAAACCTGGACATAGGGCAAGTTTATAAAGAAACACGTTTGTTCTTGGATGGAGAAGAAGAAAAGGAATGGGCATTTGAGGTAGGAAATTTATCAAAATTGTACCTAAGAATTTCCTTTTTTTGTGCATGTATGTGAAGTTAATAGGGGAAGGTAGTCTTTGAAAGTGGCCATAATGGAATCTGTGATCCTGGTGCTCTGTGAGTGAAGTCAGGTGCTCTGAGCAATTAGGTATTGGCAGCTCATACTTGAAAGATGTCAGTTCACAAAAGCACAAAGTGAAAGGGGCCAGGTTTTATTTCATAGTATTTGATCTCTGTAAGGAAGGACCCCAGTAGCCACTGCGTACACAACCATTTACACTAATATTTCTAAAAGATCTTTTTGTTACTCCCAAAGTCAACATACGGGGTGTTAAGTAGAATTTCTCCCTTTGACATAAAGGCCTTTGTGAAGCTATGCAGTGCTTAGTAAGTTAAGTTGGCCAAGCGCAGTTAGGAGCAGGCAGGCCAGCGGCTTGCCGAGATGACCCACGTGGAGGCTGTGTCTGTGGCTGCCCAAGTGGAATAGAGAGCACTGAGGGCTAGGACCGCCTGCTTCATAGTTCCAGCAGTCTAGAGATGGTCATACAGGCACCTGCTTCTGAACGAGGGTTGGAAGGCAGAACCATGGCCTGGCATGCAGGGTTGGTGGGGGTAGTCTGCAGCTGTGCTTGCTGTTCTTCATCTTTTTGGCTGGTAAAGATGTCTGGGTTCCTATGGCCCACGTAGATGCTATGGCATTATGGCAGCACTGGGCTTGGTGTACTGGAAAGGTACTCCAGAAAACAGACGTAGTGGGCTTTCTATGGTGTATTCATTGGAGAACAGATATTAGCCAAGTCGTGAAATGTACTGCTCAGCTTCAGAGAACAGTGCAGGACAGAAGGGAGTGGTGCCCTGAAAATTCTGCAGAATCTCTCTCCTATGAGGTGAACCACCATTTGGACACTTGCTATATGACTCAGGAATTGTCACACCACTGGTCATTGCTTTTTCCTTTTTCCCCAATCCCCTTCCTGCACTGCCTGCTTTAAAGAGGCCAGACTAGAAAGGAAGCGGGAGTGGGGGGAGGGGGCAGAAAGAAGAAGAATATGCATTTGTTCTAGATTGAAATAGGGTTTTTTTTTTTCAGCTGAAAGTGATAGCAGAGCTGTGGGGTTTGCCCGAGAGCATGTCCAAGAGCTGTAAAGGAGCTCCTTCAGCATATTAGAGGCATCTATGGAAGAATTAAATTCTTTGCTGAATGCTTTGCTCATCCTGCTGTATGTTGCACAAGTTATTAGTTGCAGAAATGAGAAAGAACTTAACATATGTTTAAGTGTGGATATCTTAATAGACTGAGGTGAGAGTGACACATGTCAAGACAGCGGTACCCCACTGTGGTCAGTAACCATGGCTTGGAGGTTTCTGTCAGGCCTCTCCTGGTACCACCTCCCATGTAAGGAAGCCGCTGTTAGGCCTGCCACTGAGGAGGGGCTGAAGTGGCACAGTGAATTCAGGGTACAACCAGGGCCATCAGGAGGACTCTCCACTGCCTTTCCTTCACTCCTCTCCAGTCTGTCACACACCAAGTTCACCTGTGCTGGAATTTGAGGCATCACAGCGTCTGGCGGGAGATGGCGTCAGTCCCTTTTCCTAGTGGGCTAGCGACCCTGAGTCAGGTTTGAACTTGGGTAGGAAGGGGGAAGCAACTCTATCAGTAAACATTTATTTGGACCAAACAGGACACAGCATTTGGGTTCAGAGGAAAATAGACATTTGAGAGTCACCATAAGTGTCGTTCATGAGATGTGTTCAAGATCTACTCCATGGAAATAAAGTGAGGTATCAAGAAATGAACAAAATATTTTCCATTTGAGGAAATATTTTCCATTTGGGGTCTCTAGTCCCAGAGACAACCTATCAGAAGGCATGGATATGTCCCTAAAACGTTGTTAAAAGAGAGAGTATGTGATAAACTTAATAAAAGAGATGCAGCCAATAGCAGTGAGAGGTTGAGGGGAAAAAAGGTGTACAGACTATTGGATTACTTGGAAAAAAGTGACATATAAAGAGAACTTAACCCAGCAAAGAAGAAGAACAGTGGCAGATGCCATGGCATGAACAACATTTGGGTAGAGGAACATAGAGAAGATAGTATGATTGTCCTCTGTGGGACCTATATTTTCCTCCACTCTTGTATCCTATTTTTTTCTGGTGCTTTTTGATGCAGTCAAGTACGTTCAGGGTGGTATAGTTGTGGTTAGGTGCTTATATATATACAATGATCAAAAGAATCAGATGCTAGGGAAATAACTGTGCCTGATCTTCATTATTCATTCCTCTTCAAAGTCGAGTCTAGTTAATTAAAATCAAGAGGGAAAAAAATGAGTCGTCAAATTTGTTTAAAGGGAAACAGGGAGAGGGCCCTCCCGGGTTAAAGCACAGCACTAAGAAGCTTAAGCCACTTCCGCATGAGTTGATTCCCGCATGCCCCGGAGGAGATCCACATATAGCGGCAGACCTCTCCTGACCCGCCCGCTGCTCCCCTCAGCAGTGTCGTTGATCTGCCTGTTCTGCTCCCAGCTCTGTCTCTGGTGAATCCTCTCACCCTCCGCATCTCTGGCCTGTACTCCAGTTCTATATGAATAAATAAATAAATCTTTTAAAAAAGAAAAAAAAAAGGAAACAGCGAGAATTGGTTGCCATTTATTTTCTCACATGGGGTTTAGCTCTTTTAGTAACTGAAGACAAGGTAAGAAGAAGGGTCAGACCTCTCCTGCTTCCTTTCTACTGCTAACTTCAGCTGAAAGACCTTCTGGTACAGCTCAAGGTCTGCCCCTCTTCTTCCCCTTACTAGTTGTTGATGCTGCCTCCTGGAACAGCAGAGTCACAGCTGTACAGCTTGACCCCGTGGCCAGGCTTTTTCTTACGTAAACACTGTTGCCTAGGTTGGGGCCTGGACAGTCTCTGGTAGAGCAGACATGTTAGAGCCTATTGCTTTTATTAATTATGATGTGACCAGTGAGCAAATGAACAACTCATACTCAGGAATATTTTCAAAAACTTCATAGTGTGAGAACTGAGTGCTAAACTGAAGAGGAAGAAAGGGGTAGGGGTGGCTTATTCCTGCTAGCAGGATTAAGAAAAATCCCATGGAACTCCAGAAACAGGGTGCAGGCCGTATAGAAAGACTTTAATTCCGGCTGTGGACTAGAAGGGCTGCTGGTACCCAAGAAAATAAGTATTATTTCCATCTTAGGTTTACCAAAGTTACTAAGAACGATGAGAGATATTCCTGTTAAGAAATACACTGAAATATTTCAGAAATAAAGGTCCAACCGTCTGTGACTTCTTAAATGGTTTGGGGGAGATACGAGACTGTAAATGTGTGTGTGCGCACATGTATAAATTGATTAAAAAATCGTAAACCAAGATGCTTTGCATGTTTTTATTTATCTATTCTATATTTACCTTAAAATTTATTTACCTTTTATTTTTCAGGAAAGTAAAATAGATGAGCATCATTTTGTTGCAGTAGCTCTTAGGAAACCAGATGGATCTACCCATGAGGATGTAAGAGTTCTAAGATTTCTTTGGCTTTTTTCCTAAAAACTATGAATCGGTGTTGAGTTGTTCATTATTGATAGAAGCAATCATTTGATTTATGCCAAACTAGAGGATTTTTTGATGCTTGTTTTAAGGTGACAGGTTTGAAGTGATTGTTTATCAAATCCTTACAATCAACTGGAATCACAAATTTTAAAGAGCACATCACTTTCTTCACATTCAGAAACACTGAAATATAAAAAAAGAAATGCAAAGACAAGTACAAAGAAAAAAAAAACTTGGATAGCATTTTACCATCTTCAGCAGAAATTTTGAGTTAATTACTATCTTAGTCTTTACAGTGGTTTATATCCCAATTACGTATCGGGGGGTATGTTGAATATAAAGGCACAAGTTGAAGTGTGGTTAGTAATGGAATTATCTTCAAGATTGGGCCTGTTGTCTCTTTCATGGAAAGTACCTGCCTAAATTATTCCCTGAGTTGTGGCTTCAAATATGTGACAGACCTTTCTTTGATTGTGGCATAATATCAGCCTCAGTTCTTCCAATCACAATCTGTTCTCTCTTCTATAGTTGTTAGTGGAGAATTTTTTTTTAAACCTTAGAGTAAAGGACTCTCAGTCTACATATAATTGTAATTCTGCAAAAATATATAAGGGAAACATGGTAATTGCCAAAGCAATACGCATATCCCTCGTAGGGAATTCAAGTGAGAGAATGAAGTGTAATCGATATATTCGCATTATTCTAGAAAAATTGCTCAGGTCCCGACCATGCCTTTGGTAGAGTAGCCAAGGATGAAAATGCTTCATAGGTTATCTTAACTTAAAAAAGGCTGGCATATTTCTTAGCTCCAGTTACCTGAAGATGTCCTGACCCAGTGTTCTGTCTTTGTGTTCCCAAGTCTCAATTAGAGACTTATTCTCTGCTGGTACCTGTGTTTCCTTAGAACTTTATTAATTTTTTTTTTAACATTTGTTCATGTGGTACTTCCTTTTTAGCACATTGGAGAGAATGCATGTTTGGGCAGCTCTGGTGTAGTGAGAGAAGGATGAGAGTAGTATGCAGAAGACCTGGATTCCAGGCTCGGTTCTGCCATTTAACCTATGCTGAGAACTTGCACAAATTGGTCAGCCCTCCTGTGCCTCAGTTTCCCATCTGTAAAATTGAGATAACTATGAACATAGTTTCAAGGCATATGTCATGTAATAATGGTACCGACCCATGGTCTTGCACTACAGAATACCAGTGATTGTCTTAACTACACAAGTAGAATGTTAAGATTTCTGCTGGGTTGACTTGCAGACAAGTACACTATTCAGAGTACATTCAAGATGCAGTTTAAATTTAGTATAAAGAGCTGTTTCTAAAGAAGTTACACATTTCTGTGTCTGTGGGAATTTGCCCAATGGCACCCTTCCCCCACCCATCAGAATAACCCACCTGTTCATTCAAGTTATGGGTCCCTTTTAACTCATCTACAGAATTCGAATTTTAGATAATAGCTCAGTAAATCCATATTTTAAAATGTATTCTAAGTTACTTCAGTGTACAAAATGTTGAGAATCATATATAAATTCCTTTTTTTATATTTGTAATATTGGTGAGGAGGAGTATGACTATGAGGAATATAGACAGTAGTAATCTAGAAATCCTGTGTTGTAACTAAACATTACTAAGATATAGCGCAGTTTTACTTTCCTACTTACAAAATAGATAAGATTACCGAGCTGAACACAGAGAGCTCACCTGTTCTTTTCCCTTCCAGGTACCATCTCATGATGATTCTAAACCAGCACAGAGGCAGTTTACTGTTCTCACCTTCAATGATTTAATATCATCTGCTGTTCCTATGACCCCTGAAGATCCTTCATTTTGGGACTGTTTTTGTTTCACAGAAGAAATTCCAATACGAAATGGTACAAAGTCATGATAGGATTCCCTAAGTAAGAAAGGGAAATGAAAAATGTTTATAATTTTCCATAGTCATTAAAAACCAAATTCCTAGTAGTATCAAATTTTATTTCACGAAACAGTTCAAACAAAAACTTTTCCTACTAAAAAACAAACTCCCAATTCAAGGTAACTTAATGGAATGCATATTTACCTTTCTCCTCCCCAATCATGTTGGATTAACAGAAGCAATAGAAAGGACAACAGAGCACTAAAGTGATAACCGCTTATTGTAGGAAAACATTGGCAATGCAAATACAAAAAAGAAAATACATTTCTATCTTTCAGAAATAATTATTCCTAAAAACAGACATTTTCTTATAAGTGAATCCATATTAATAAGCTTTTTTTTTTATGAGAACATAACTGTTTTGTAATTTTTTTCTTCTAACTGCACATCTACTGTTCTTACATATATTTCTGTGTTAAAACTTTTAGTGACTAAAATGTTCTGTGTGTATGAATTAGTACAGTTAGGATGCTTTGACCAGACGTAGCAGTGTCCTCATGTAAAGGACTTAAGTATTCAAGGACACTTAATATCTCACATAACAACATAAGCACACTTTTGCCTCAGTTTGTCTTGCCTTATTGTCTTCCTTGTGTTCATAAGAGCTGCTACTGTAACTTCACCTTACATCTTTACAACCTTGAATCTGAAAGGCAGAAAGGGCCATTTTCCCATGTATCTCAGTTTGATCAGCGAGGAAGATTTTCCCCAAGAGCCTTTGGGTAGACATCCCTAGACCAGGTCACTGAGAACATGTCCGGTAGATTTTACCGTTCAGGTCTTTGTCACATATTTCCACTGCATGGCTAATGGGCTGTGGAGCAGTTTTTGCTGTTCAAGATAACTGACAGTTGGGTTGCAAGTTTGGTATGCACAATGATGAGTAGACGGGAAGGTTTTAAAATAATGGATTAGATTAGATCAATTTGCAAATAGTGCAGTAAGCACTATGATTCCTCCTGCTGTCAAAACCAAAAATTTGCCCACTTGTGGCAAGTACCAAGAGGTGACTAGAAACTGACAACAGTCTTTAAGAGCAGTGGTGATCATTTCTTTAGTGAACTTAGATAAAGCTTGTTCTCTAGCGCCATCTTTACCAAATGTGTATTAGAAGTTGGAGGCAGACGAATTTATTAGTCTCTGTTTCCCCCTGGAAAGGTTTGGCTGTGTGATTCCTGATGAGTTTTAGGTTTTTTAAAAATGGTAACCTTTTTTTTGTTACTTGATAGTGAAGAACATGGTATAGACAGAATTTGGTATTTGGCACATGGGCATGTGATGGACCATTTAAACGTAGTTCAGTTAAATGCAGCCAGAGACATAAGTTACATAGAAGGGTGAATACAATTTCTGTTAACAGCCTCCCTATCTGTCATACCGCAGTGTAGAAGGTGTTCACAAGGCGAACAGAAAGCTCATTGACACACTGAAGGAAGAAACTTTACCAAAAAGGTTGTGTTTCATTATGTCCTTCAAATTAATTTCCTTCTTATTTTTCATGGGTTTTCCTATTTTTATAGCACAAGTGCCTTTTAGGCAGTTTGTTATTCAGCAAGAAGCCTTGTAGTAAAGAATTAGGAACTTAGCTAGAACCTGCTGAGAGAGCTGGTCCCTGACAGGCTCCTGATAAAGAGGAAGCTGAGATGAGGCTGCAAAGCCCAGGCCTGCCTTGGGCCACCATTTTCTCATTATTTCCCTGCAATAGCCACTTTCAATGTCTGCAGTTTTTACTAGAAGCAGCAGTATGGTAAATATCTTAGGTACATGAATAATTAGTCTGTTGGCAAGTCTGTAGAAGTGGACTGACTGGCCTCAGAGAGCTTAAACAGAACTTGGTTGAGTATTGCCAAATCACTCTCCCAAAATGCATACTTCCTGAACAACCGTGGATGTTTTTGTTTATTTAATCTTTGCCAGGATAAGTAAAAAATGATTTTCTTTTTTAAATTTGGAATTCTTTTCATTACACCTGAGATCAGTCTGTCAGTGTTGTTAATTGGCTGTCTGTGTACATTGTTTATAACCTTTTCATTGTCTGCCTGTTTCTATTTTAGTAAATAGAACTTAATTTAAAGTGGGAACATAATATATAAGATGCCAAGACCATCATATTGATGACAGAATCTCTATCATGGTTGTAGTGCATGTCCTGGGAAGTTTGTCTTGTTATTGTTAAATACCAAGAAGTGAAATAATCTCATTGTTTCTATTACTAAAAAGTTGCAGTTGTGTGTAAATTGTATAAAATTAGAAACCTTGCTTAGTTAAAAATTGGAATGTTTTATAATTTTTTAATTTTATTCAGCATGCCCAAATATTCCAAGCATAGTAAATAACCTGTTTTTAAAATTAAGTAGAGGATATGGTAGAGAAAGCATTGTTATCTCTAGCATGAATGTAATGGTGATTAAAAAAGTCATTTGTCTTGTCATTATAATAAAAAAATGATTAACATTACAGAATTTTGATGGGCCAAGCATTGTAATAGAATGTGGTTATTTATTTTTTTATTTTTTTAAGATTTATTTATCTGTGCATACAGAACTGGGGTACAGGCCAGAGGTTCAGGGGTGGTGAGAGGCTTCACCAGAGACAGAGCGGGGAACAGAACAGGCAGATGGACGAAGTACACTGCTGAGGGGAGTAGCAGGCCGGTCAGGAGAGGTTTGCTGCGCCATGTGGTCACCTCTGGGGCAGGTGGGAATCGAACTCATGTGGAAGCGGCTTTAGATTCTCAGTGCTGTGCTTTAACCCGCTGTGCCACCAGGGAGGGCCCTGTTTATTTTTTTTAATGTTACACTTATGCATAGTTTGAGTCCACCAGACCTACATATTTTTTTCTAAGTGAACTGTGCCACTGCCTTGACCTCTTCCTATTCCTTATCTCTGAATAAACACTTTTTTTTAAAATTTATTTATTCATACAGAAGTGGGGTACAGGTCAGAGGTGCAGGGTTGGTAAGAGACTTCATGAGAGACAGAGTGGGGAGCAGAACAGGCAGATCAACAAAGTACACAGCTGAGGGGAGCAGTGGTGGGTCAGGAGAGGTCTGCTGCACCATGTGACCACGTGGGTCTCCTCCTGGGGAGGAATCGACCTCATGCTGAAGTGGCTTTAGCTACTCAATGCTGTGCTTTAACCTGCTGCGCCACCAGGAAGGGCCCTGAAAAAACACTTTAAAAAAAAAAGTTTATTTTTACATCATTTTGTGCCTTTTCCCATCTCAATTGTAAGCTCCGTGGGCTTCCCATCACCAAATCATCCATGTGCCATCACCATAGTCCGATGCATTTCCCTCCCCCCACTGTTTTTTGATCCCATTCCCCACTCCACTCCATTAAAAGTGAAGAAACACTTTTAACTTAGCTTGTTTTTGCTAGTTTAGTACTGTGTACCCAAATATTTTGGCTGGCTAGAGGCAGCCCTTTTAATCTACATTATGGGAAAGAATCTTGTAACCCAGCAAAGCAAGCCAGACATAGAAAGTAGAATACAAACTTTTTTCCATGTTTTAAGATAGAAGTTCAGAAAGTTCAGGGAAATGTTCCCTGCCCAGAAGTGTACAGTAAGGGCTCTTTAGTTTTAGAACCATTTTTTAGGGGGAAATGGGAAAGGAGCCAATATGAGGAAGGAAAGTATCATTTACTGAGTACCCAGGCAGAGTTGGAGAGCATAAGGCAGTGTCCTGGGTGACTTCTTGCTAGCACCCCTATAGTACTTGCCAGCATTGCAAGCCAGCTAGTCATTTCTTCCAGATCACTCTGCCCTTTCACCTGCTCATGACTCCAGGAAAACTGACTTCCATGTAGTGAATTTACCAGAATCCATGCTCCTTTGTCAGGTTTTGCTAATGGGAAAAACCTTTGGGAGAAGACCTGGTGGAAACGGAGAGATGTGGTATTCACTTTCACCTGATTGTTGAGCGGTTTGGAAAGCTGTCAACCCGTGTGCCACACAAGATGTGTGTGACACCACTCATCCAGATGTGGATCTCATGTTCAGAAGCCACTTCTTACCACCTAGAAACATCTCTGATCTTGCCCACTGCTTCCCCTTTTGGATATTGCATTCTGCCTCACCCCCACAGTCTGCCCTCTGCCTTTAGGCAGATCCTCTGCTCCTGAATGCAGTCCTGAGTAATACCGTGATTTGTATCACATGTTGCCCCAGTAAGCTAATGATAACCTGGGATTGGACTGCCCACACTGGTGGATATACAGATAACTTCTTTGTTGGGGGAACAGGTGGGTAGTGGTGATTTCACATTTTCTGTCAGTGACTGGAGCAGGAGAAAGGATCAAGTGGCTATTGCTGCTGTGATGGTGAGTTGTCTGAGTTTCCAGGGTGTACACACAGAAAAAGACATTGAAAGCAGGGGTGAAATGTCAGAAAATTTGAGGCACAGTAGCAGTAGCCCCCCCTTGGAGGGAAACAGTCTTAACTCCATCTGCCCAGGGAAAATGCTTCCAGCACCATCCTCTGACCCATTTGCTCCTAAGTGGGGGAAGGGGGCAAGTGCCAGTAACCCTCAGACCCACATCATCCAACTCTTAACTGACTGGGAAAGAATAGGTCAGTAGCCAGCCTCCCCCAAACAGAAGTGCTCGTGTGCCCCACTTTTGGAAAGCTCACGTGCATCTTAGCTTTTACAAAAGATACTTCGCTTTCGTTTTTACATGAGCACCTGTTTCCACTAACTGGTTGAGGATTTTCCCTTTTAGACGAAAGCTGAGAGGCACAAACAGCCTGGGTGGGCGTGGCGTTGCCAGCGGTGGTGGTGTGGTGTCCTCGGGTGGTCTCTGCCTGGGCTTGCGTGAACAGCTTTTCTACAAAGGTTGCACCAAAGGCTGTGCTCCCCGCGTGTCCAGATGCCCCTCCAAGACCTTCCCCAGACGCTGTGTGTACAGGTGTGTTCTCTCCTTTTCCTACTTGTCGGTGTAGAAAGAGGCCTTGAGGTTCCATGTGTGTCTGGTATGCTCTAGTAGCTTACTAAAAAATTGTCGGAAACAATTTTTTTCATGTAAGTTAACCGTCATTGCTTCTTCACCTTGTGACACTTAAGCTTCATAAAGGTTTCAGAGCCACATTTGGCTTCCAGGTAAGACAAGCAAAGCAGTGACTGAGGCAGGCCAAAGGGAAAGGTGGCTTGCTCTCACTTGAGGTGGATGATGATTGCACTGCCCTGCACCACACCAAGTCACAGCCTTCTACTCTCAAATGTCTA